ACTAGAGGAGTTCGGACACAACAACTACTTGAAGCTCTGCGCAGAAACATAGACATTTGTGACCGCAGCTAAATGTGCTAAGGGGTACCACTTTATACAAACCTACCTGCCAAAATGTTTAAACAGAGAGGTTATTTATTTATTTACCAGCTTTTCTGGACACAAGCCAGCCCAGAGAGAATGTGCACGAACGGGACTCTGGTCCCATGCGAGGTGCCATCCCTACCCAATCCCACAACCCGTAAAGGTTGGCCACACCACCGGGCTCTACGACCCCTACTCTTTTCGAATAGTGATGTGGGTTCTTTTACGTCCCAAAAGAACAAATCAGTGAAAGTGCTGTGAGACGGGACCTACGGTTTTTTGTCCTTATCCGAGAAGACTAGAAAGTCTAACCATTTGCAGATGTCATTACAAAGGCAGCACTTTCTTCTCAGCTATTTAAAGACCCTGAGTGTTGGTCCGGCAGGGGTATGACCTGCGACCTGCCGCTAAGCAGACCGGCGCTCTCTCAACTGAGCTAACCAAGCGGTTATTTAGGGATATAACAGAATGAAATTCAGGCCAAATTTGATTGAATTTCTATTGTTTAATGGAAAATCGATTTTTGTATATTAAATGTAAAGAACGCTCAATTGACTGTGCAAGCGCATTAATATTTGTCTTATCCATCCAAAGGTCGTCCAGGAATGCTATTGGATTTCAAATAGGGTCATAAAAATGCTAATGTTAACTTTCAAGATGGTATTTAAATGAATTGGATGTTGGCGTTAATGAAAGTAAGAAACCCCAGGCAGGCAGGTGGGGTGGCTGCTTGGTCTGCAGTGGCTGACATGTGATTGCATATCTCAGCTCTGCTTTGCTTTGCTGATCTTTGCGGATCATTGCTTTTCATGGCCTGTAATATCTGCTGGGTTTTCTCGCTTCTGTCGTTCGTTTTCGAGTCTTCTCGTCCCTTAGTTTACCACGTGGATTTGTTGGGTTTTATCAGTCATATCTCTTTCTACGCGCAACAGTGGGGACGCTATGTTGCATTCACCCGCGACTATGGCTTCGTCTGCTGGATCCTCAACTGGCTTGTCTACTGGGTTAACCCGTTTACGGCCCCGACAACCATATCATTTCCTCCGTCTCTGGTTCAGCAGATAGTGGATGCGGTGAAGGCTTCGTTAACGGGGGAAAAAGCGGCGGATCAACCTCCAGCGCCCAGCACTTTGGGTGAATTACTGTCCGTCCATCTACTGTGCAGGCTGCGCTATAGCTATTTATTTTTCTCTTTTCTATGCCGAAAGACGCATACGAATGCCCAAAAGTGTTACTGGATGTTGATTACTGTAAAATGCAGAAATCGTAATTACTTGGGCGTGTCCCACGTAATAGTTTCCAGATCGGCAAACTTCAAAGAGATTTCCTTATTTGGTTTGCTTCAAAAGTGCAATTTAATTATTGGGACAAGACTGAGCACATAGCCAGGCGTAGACTGCCGGCAAACGCAGAGGTATCAACGGGAAGTAACCAGAGATACTGCGAATTGTGTTTGGTTATTGCAAGTGTTTTTGAAATCCTAAATGTGGGTCAAGAAATTGAACAAGATAAGTCAAGATAGTGTGACTGAAATTTAAAGCGATTTTAAAACATGTTGAAAAAGCAACACATGGATAATTTTCAGTTTGGAGGAGAATATAACCTTAACGTTAGGGTATTTTCCAACGACAAGTCGGTTATCTTTTCAGAGATTTGAAGGTAAATACTAGTATTTTCCAACAGTAAATGTGCACAACCAAGCTGGACAAGATACTGCGAAACTTTTTGATACCCCCGCAACGAATTCTACGAAACCTTCAGGACGGTAACAAGCAAACCCAAATTTGAGTTATTAATTAAAAAAAAAACAGCAAAGAATTGTCTGGTATTAAAGTTGGGCTTTCAATCACAGCAAATTCTTTGTTAGGATCGATTAAACGTGCTGACGTGGTCAATCTATTTTTAGTTCGGCTGAAGGTTAGCAAAGTAAACATGAAATGAAGCAAGTATATTTTGATTTCTACAGAAACCTTTATTAACAAGAGATAATTGATTTTTCAATCCGACAAGAGATTTTTTTAAACGGAAACGGCAAAAAAATGTCCTATTGTTGCTAAATGAAAGGTACCAGTAATTTCATCGATACACTTGCGCAGGGAAAGTTTCACACATGTTTACTTTTCTATGGAACTTGATACGTCTTACATGAGTATCAGATTTCAAGACAAACTTTTGCAGACATAAATATGAGACAAGGTTTTTTTTTTGCCTTGACGCCAAAATTTTTATTGATATTTTTCCCTGGGCTTTCAGAACGTACAATTTTTATTAGGCAATTTTCAAGTGCATCATTTTCTATGAAAGGAACTGCCCTCCAAACCCCCCGCTCTTTTGGTCCTCTGTTCGTGAGACTCATAAATTATTCATGAAGACAAAACAGAGGGAATCTCAACCCTGATGGTAAACTTTCCATGCTGGCAACGCAGTCTTAAAATTCAGTTACTCCAGGGCAGCTAGGACTTTCATCAATCAAAGGTGATCGTTTCAAACCCTTTTTTTGTCGGCCATACCCCTAATTTAACTTACTACTCTCAACAATTGACCATAACATTGACAATGATAAAAATAACAACAGCAATAATAATACAATGATAATAATTGAAATTAATAACACGTTCTCTCCACCGATACAAATATTACCAAAAAGATCCTTAAAACGATCCTAAACAGAAAGCTAACAAAAATTTAAAAATACCCTCCACGTTCCTAACCATCAAACTCTCTAACAAACCTTCATTTTAACAATACTATAGTGACACTATCCTTTTTTAACCACAACTATCTCGCTGCAACACCTAAAATCACTTTATCTTCCAACAAAACTATTTAATGCTACTTCATGTAAGTTCTACCACAAACCAATAAAAACGATTAATAAGCTACAGCCGTTATCATAGCGAACACGTCCAAAATATAACACTAATGCATTACTCAAACATCCCTGGCACACACACACACAGACACAAACAAAAATTAGAATACACGAAATTAAACCGCGCCTAAGTATACGCTCCCACAGCGTCTTGTTGAATATGATATGGATGCGCAAATGTTAAATGAATGAATTTTCGCACTATTGGTCGCCGTTTCACGCAAATGATTGCGTGTTTTTTCTCGCAATGAACAGCAAAAGGTGTATGTTGTAACAAAAAAATGGATGGATTCAAGTCGTGAACGGAAGAAAGAAAGGCGCTAAATATGCTTTTTTAGTAATTTGAAGACAAGGAAAAAATTCCTTTTATAATATCAATAGTGAAGCATTGTTAACGGCGCGACTTTCTTGTTTTGTCTTCTTCCCACGTTTTGTCAGTCCACAAAAGCATAAGAACACAGTTAAATAACAAACACGTGACTAACCTGGCAGATGGCAGCCCAACCAACTTGGTCTGCCTCCACTCATCCATGAATTCCATGGATATTTTACCGTTGCCAAGGTTACAGACAAGTGATTCTAGCAGTCCTGGGGTGTTTCTACATGCTTGCAACATCAACCGGGAAGCGGTTCGGTCAAATGAGAGGTACCCCAGGGCAACGGCAGCACTGCTTCGGACTTCCTCATTTGCAGAAGACAGGTTGGCGAGGAGAGCTTCCACGGAACCTGAAAGGAAAAAAAACACGAACACTCAGGATAGTCACTGCTATTGACAGCCACATTTTGAACACTCATCGCCTGCTGATCTTTATCAGGAGATGGTATCAATTTAGCCTCCGTAGCTGGCGAAATTCTTGTGTCCGGGGTACTTTCTTGGCGGCGGAGCCGCGACGGAAAATCCCGCCTGCCACATTTCTTCTGAGTTTTGAATGCCCACTTTTGTCCGCTTGGTTGGAACCATTTGATTACCCAATCAGGAAGAGTGGTGTAATACGAAACTGACCTGCAAACGAACCAGGCCAAGCGTAACAATCATTGCAAGTAGTTCAGCATCCAGACAGGGTATTCTGCGGTTACTCCAAACTTGAGAAACTAAAACCTTTATTAAACGGTCATTTAGCCGCAATAAAAAGCCTTATGCTTCCAAAGGGTCAAAGAATTCCCTAAACTGCTTCAGAGGTCAAATTCTGCCAGAGACAAAAACCACAAGAAATCAATGCTGGAATGCACAGAAAACTCATCGGCCTCATGACCCCTCAATCGGCAAAGATAACATTTGCTCATGTAAAACGAAGAATCGTCCACAGTATATTGCACCCGTTTTTCTAAGGTGCCAGTTTTAAATGATAAAGCGCCCTTTTGATGTTGAGTTCGGATGGATCAGGAAGTTTGCATTGCGTGACAAAAGGCAATATTGTCTGATCCGCTTTTGTTATATAGCCAATTCCCCGTAGTAAAACGAGAATAGTTTCAGTCCTTTCTGGAGGATAGTAGAAGACGTGTCTTAAATTTTGAGATCTATTCCCCTAAAAAAATGTCTTTCGAGGATTTCTTTCAAGCGCAAATCTTGTGGAGTGGAGTCTGCTTACTAGCTCAATTTTGTTTCACTTTCACGTGAACGCACTAATTTTCCCTTGGGAGATAGTAGAGATATCAATTATCATTTGATTGGCATTTCATCGCCTCTCAGCCAATTTGAAACTTCCGTACGCCTGGCTGCGGACTATTCAAAACACCCAAGAATTGTGGCAGGCGGGATTTCAAATTGACTTGTACCCACTCTTCTCACCGCCCAAACAATACAGCCCACGCACGCCAATCCCGCCAGCTAAGCAGGCTAGTATCAATTCTCCTTGCGCGACTATCAATAATACCACACTCATGTTTTGCATACTGCTCGGATCAACATAATCTTCAATTTACTTTTTGATAGATAAAAACAGTTTGAACGTTTTAAAACGTAGCACATGGTCACTTGGTATAAAAAAAGACTAGTAGCTTCGCCTACCTGCGGTGATAAGTGCCGCAGGAACACCAGCCCGCGTGTGACCGAGGCTAGCCGTCAAACTAGCAGCAAGAATTTGTGTACTGTCTTGTTCTGAACGTAACAACTGCACTAGTAATTCAACACCACGTGCAGTCAGATTCACTTGATCACTGTCTATCACTCGCGCTAAGACAATGATCTGAAAAGCCGCATGGGCTTGGTACAATTCGTTTTCAGACCCCAGAAACTCTTCAAATGATTGCAGTGCAATTCCACCAGCGTTCTTAATGGCGTATTGTTGAGAAGTGTTGTTGTAAGCAAACGTTGCGAGAGCCATTCCAGCCTTGTGCCGGACGGTCTCTTCTTTGTTTGCGAGGTGATGAAGAAGTTCGGTGACCCGGAATTTTGTTTGCTCTGCGAGAAGCTTTTGGGTTTGCGTGTTGTTCTGGACTATTTTACCAAGAGTGATGGCAACTTCCACCTGTAGCAACACAAGAGGAGAAGAAGAAGAAGAAGAATAGAAAAAGATTATCTTCTTATTAACTTCTTTTTTCAGATAAAATGTATACTGCATCAATATAGAATACCTTCAGTCAAAACTATGTTAAAACCTTTGAGTCCACTGATTAATTTAAGTGAATCCATTGATTAATTGAAGTCTTTCTAAGTAATCTGGGGAAAGTTTTTCGCCACTTATTAGAAGGCAAGCTTTAACGTTGAACATAATTTCGATGTTCGACGACGTATATCCTCAAATACTTGTTTTATTCACTTTGTGTGATGGATGAAACTGAAAAACGGCAACGGCGGCTACCTTGACTTTCACATCCGATGAGCAACCAGAAACGAACTTGGCAGTTTGCGGTTACAAGGGGGTTGTCTCTCTCTCGACTGAAGGACGTGAAACTTTCGACAGCGCCACACAGTTACAACATGATGGTGATTTTAGGATAAAATACGGCCTTAACAACGAAAAAGAAATAAAAGTACACCTTCATAAAAACAATTTGATGCAACGCAGTTCGACTAATGTTGTCGAGTACTCATAAACATCTCTTCGGAAACGCGCACGCACCTCTTAATAGAATATCTTTCTATTTTTTAGCTTTTAATGGAAGAGTTAGAAGATATAATAACAAACCTGAATTAACGGCTTCTTGGAGGAGCGTAGAAGATGAACAAGAGTAACAAGCGCTTCAGCGTTTGTTATTTCAATTTGTGTGGACTTGTTGGATTGATGTGCCACGCCAACACACAGAATACCAAGAACACGGATCACCATAAGCAGAACCTGATGATCAACAGACCAAATCATCATTATCACAAAATGCCCGAGAATAAAATAAATTCTCTGTTGGAGGGGTTAGTGATGCACACGTATGGGTGAGAAGTCTTTTCCAAGACTATAAATTGATTTATAATTTTCTCTTTTTGTTTTAAAATCAGTTAAGTATAAATTTCTGGATTTTCATAGGTTGAAGCTTGTTCGTTCTATTTTTTTTGGTCAGTTTAAGTAGTTTTAAGTATAAAAATGGACGCTTCGCTTTTAGCCTTGGCTAAATCTATATATCACTATATCAGTGAGAAATTTACATCATTGTAAAGACTAGGAAGGATTTGGACTCGTACAGTACCTTGCAACCGAAGCAGATGTAAGAGACAAACACATTTAAGGTGGCTCGATACAGTTTTTCCGGGTCAGATTAACCGTCCTTTTATATGACCTCTTAGTTTCAAGATTATTGATATATTGTGAGGCAGTAAAATAAGGGCTACAATTCGCTAATATTTTGTCAGAAATTTTGTGTTTACAAGTGAGAAATTATTTCATTCAAATACTTTCGTGAGTCTTCTCATCTAAAGCAAGTGAGCGAGCACAGTTTCGCTGTAAAGTGCTTCCCATCGCCGCGCCGAATCGCATGAATCCTTAAGTTTCTTTGTGAAAAGATCTCGGGAAAGTAAAGGCTATTCCAGCTGGAGGAAAATCTTCTTTTTGGTGGCCCTCAGGCATGTAACAACTCGATGCAAACCATATCGATCGACTCAATCGCTAAGACGAGCAGTCAAAACAAAACTCTCGAGGCCTAACTAGCCTCGCTTTCGCGCAACTAGACCCGGGCCGGCCGAGAGGTCCGCCATATTTGCATTCGGTGTATTATTCAGACGAATTGTCCCCAAGTTTTATATTTTCGTGCACAACAATAGCTAGCATTTTTACATATGTCAAATGCAATGTTAGTTACTGCTGTTCACTTGAAAATGAAACTTGGAGACAATGGCCCTGAATAATAATAGGCTCTCACTTGTAAAGACAAAATTTCTTACAAAATATTAGCGAATTGTAATCCTTATTTTACTACCTTCCAATATATCAATAATCTTGAAACTAAGACGTCATATAAAAGGACGGTTAATCTGAAGATTCTTAAATTTTTTAGAAAATCTATCGAGCGGTTTAAAAATTATTCGCTGATTGTTAAAGTAGACCAAAATGTTTATATTACCGCTAACAAGAGCGCCCCAATACACACTAATCAAATCCTTCTTTCTAGCAATCGGCTGGAGGCATCTCCATGATCTTTCACACACGCTTTCGAGAAGATTGAAACTACTATCAGGTGAAATTGCATGTCAAAAGCGCTTCGTTTAGTACAGATAACCGTCAAACATCAAGATTGTCCAGTTTTTAACGTATTTCTAACCATAAAAGCTTCTTCACAAAATATCTCGATAACGCTCTTACAGATTTTGCTTAAACTTCACGAACATCGAGGCGGCTATTGGAGAAAAAAGCTCCAGTAAACGATTTAGGAAGAAGAGTTCCCAGTGCCGAGAAATACTACTGGAAGTAAATTAGGTAATGGCGTCATTTCGTAGCTATGACAACTCCGATGTCATTGCAACCCTGATCACAGCAAATTTATATCTTTATTTAATACAACTGTGGCGTCAATTTTTCCAAATCTTTGTTTATGGCGACGTAGTTTATGCTCAAACTTGGGAGGTACTGACCCTGAAAAAACTGTATCGAGCCACCTTAACGCAAAAAGAAGGATTTGAAAAATAAAAGATCTCCTAGACATCCTTCATAATGTTCGGGAAAAGTGTTGTATGAATATCCACTAAAATGTGTTGTAAGAATATCCACTACCTTTTCAGATGTTTTAGGAGATCTCAGGAGTCTTACAAGTGGCTGAACTCCACCTCCAGCAACTATCTTATCCTGGTTTTCGATGTTTTCCATAGTCAAAGCAATGATGGCCATTCCCGCAATGTACTGCAATGTCTCTGATTTTAGCATAAGCATGTCAACAAGGATGTTAATGCCAATCATGCTGGCGATCCGTTGCTGTTGATGTCGAGTGACACCTGCTAGTGCCCATAAGGCACTGGCACCTAAAATAAAAAAGAAAAACACACAATATAGAGTCCTAAATTGTGACGTCATAAAATAATTAAATTTGTGAAATTACGGGATTTTTCGGGGTATTATGAAAGAACAATATCCAAAATCCCTACTTGCCAAAAATCAGCATTCCAGAATGGTCTTTGATATATTAGCCCAGTTATGCTCTGATGACTCCATACAAATCCTTCGAAGTTTTATATTCCCCCACAGCCCTGGAACGAGCACGATTTCGAGGATAAAGAGGGAATGAGGGTCAACTTCTTTGCAAAAACAAAAACAAACATAGGTAATTTGCCGCTGATACGCTGGAAAACGATAAAGATCTTTAAAATAGTAAGATTTCAAAGCTTAAACTTTACCAGTAAGCCAAAACGATATCTGTTCCAAACAACAAAATTGTGGAAAAAGCTGATCGAACTTAACAGAACAAAGGAAAAACGCGGCAAAGCCGAAAGAAGAAGTAAAATTCTTAAGCTTGAAAAGGGTAAAGTATGTTAAAATGACAATATTTTACTCCCTTTAATTATCTTATTTGTTAGTATTCTACTTTACTCCAGTGTATATCTGCAAAATGGAGTTTACATGGCTCAGTATATCGTCTATATAAAATTCTGTGTTTAAGTTCTTGTCGAGTGAAATGTGCGTACGTTTTTCTTTAGGTGACTCAATATTGTTGTAAATTATGATGTACGCTAAATGTAAATTATGTATAAATAAGCTCATGCTATTTTAGTCATCTTAGTTTAAACCGATTTAACGTCCTTACAGAGCAAGGAATTTATGCAGAAAGTCTGCCCCGTCGGTTTATTTTTTATCAAATACACAAGATTTTGTATTCGCTCCGTTAGAAAAAATGTCAACTAAAAAGAAGGTTTTAGTTTCATTTGCAGGCTTTCGACAAGTAAGTACACTCCAATGGAAGGTAGGTTTAAAGTAGTTTTAACCATCACTGAAAATAACATTAAAATGGCTTCAGGGTATAACCTTGTTTAAGGATTTGAAACCATCTTCGCATTTTTATTGCACTCACCCACCGACTACTACAGTCGACTCTCGATAACTCGAACCTTCAAGGGAAATCGAAAAAGGTTCGAGTTATCGGGAGCTCGAAGAAAATAGCCCGGAGTAAGGAAAAAAACAGTTTTTACTGCACAGTGAGCATTGTAATCACATTTAATTGTAGAAATATCAAGTGAAAATTAAAAGATACTTCTAGATTATAAATCAGAACGTAACATAACAAAACCTTGGTTAAATAGAGCATGCGTTTTACTGTTTTGAGAAGTAAAGCTGTTTCACGTTAGATTTGTGACAAACAACATCAGCCTCCTCTCGTAAACTATATGCCTACAATACGTCAATGGGAAATTCAAAATTCAATGTTTGGGACGCCAGTGGACTGTTTTTTCCCGACTTTTAAGGGCTCACAACATGGTTCGAGTTATCGAGGGTAAAATTATATTAGAAATGATCTGAGGGGAAACAAAAACTACTTCGAGCTAGCGGGAAGTTCGAGTTATCGAGCGTTCGAGTTACCGAGGGTAAAATTACAGTAAATGTATGACGGAAATCCAAGGGAAATCGACTTTGGTTCGAGTTAGCGCGAGGTTCGAGTTAACGAGGGTTCGAGTTATCGGGAGTCAACTGTATTTCGGCCAATTTCTGGTTCGGCTCGTTGATTTTCTTAGTGATGACGAGCTAATTTACCCTTTGCTGTTTGAAACAATGTAAGTAAGTTTAGAGACCTCCAAAACCGTTCAACGTTTCAAATTTTCCTTTTTTTCGGCAACTCAGCCGCAGTTTTCTCAGGTTTGCTTGTCTTTTTGGCGAGAAGTGACCCGCATTAGCCTCGCTTTCGCGCAAAAAAACACTTGTCCTAGGCCACCCGGGAATACGAAACTCGCCTATTTAGAAGGCTTTTTATGGAGTCATATGGGCAAAACGGGACTAGTGTCTCCGAGACAATTTGCTCTGGAATGCTAACTTGTGGCAAGTACGCCCTTTGGATGTTTTTCTTTCAAAATATCCCAACAAATCCCATAATTTCAAAAATTTAATTTATATGACCCCATTACTAGAACTTTATTATCAACACTGGCAAATATGTGTATGTACGCATTAAGGCACTTTTACTGTTTTTAAAAGGATTGTGAAAGGATCAATTAGAATCAAGCCTTCCCAAATCTATTCAAGAAAAATCTGATTATTTTTTCCTCCTTGTTTGAGGCCACAGGGCAACATTTTTAAACACCAAATTCACACCATGCTCTTGGACACCTTGCAGGGGCACCCATCGAGAATATAGTTCAAAACCACTTAAACATAGCATTGTTAAACGTATTTTAGTATTTAAACGGTAGATAAAGGCATATTTTTATCTCCGAAAAATTTTTCATTTGTTCGGATTTCCTAGCTGAAAGTCTAGTGATCCGAAAAAATGGCTCCCAAAAATTCTAGGTGACCTTTTAAGGGTCAAAATCCGTGAAAAATGGGCAATTATACCATTTTTTTGTTGTTCGGAAATTCTAGGAGAGGCAGGCAAGCAAGAAATTTTACAACAAATGTTCCAAAAATTCTAGATATCAAATCGTCTTCCGAACAGATATTTTCCGAAAATTAGCGTTGGGTGCCCCTCCATTGTTCTTTAGCTACCAAGTATCAGTCATCCATGGACCTCTTGGTCAAACAGTAATTCTTTGACGCAAAATATTACAATGATCAAATGTTACATACTTTAAGTTATGATAATAAACATGCTGAACTAAATAGGTGTGTTTTAAGCTTTACTTTAAAAACATCAACAGATTTGGTGCAGCTGACATCAAATAGCAAAGAATTCCAGAGCCTTGGAGCAGCGCAAGTGAAGGACCTATCACCAAGTGCTGCTTTGAGACAAGACCTTGGCATTTAGAATCCCTATTGTGATTCAAGTGAAAATGCATTTGAATCCAAACAGGCATCACGAGATACATATGTAGGCCTTTTGCAACTAGTCATTCACATAGTACAATTACCACCATGCTGTAGAGCAAGAAATGCACTGGGACAAGACAAACAAAGGAATTCATTACCACTTATAATGACATTTTAAACCTTTTATTCATCTTGTTCCAGTGCTTCCCTCACTCTCCAACAAGGCAGTTTTGTACCCTGTGAATTACTGGCTGCAAAAAATGGCCTGTTACTTTCCACTGAGCATTAATAACCTTAATAATTTGAATGCAACTTTAGGTATCAAAATATTAAATTACTTATTGTTTCTTTATTTGCCAAAGCTAAGTAATTTTTACATGCATGAGTTTTGGTTACTGACATTATCTTCAGTTGTGAATTCTTTCAACAGTGTTTGACTATAGCTATTAGACTAATGACCTGGAGATTACAACATACCTTGTTCCTTCACTTCAATGGCCCACATTTTAAGAAGTCTTATCAGAGGACGTTGTGCATCAGCTGTGTCAATCTCTTTCTGTGCTTCAGGGTTATTTGAAGCAAGAGACTCCAGAGCACTTGCAGCCTTCACTTGGCATAACGTTTTGGTGCTCTTTGCTAATACCACCAACGGTTTGACAGCTCCTGTCGCTACAATCAAGTCTTGGTTTTCACGATGGTTCTTGGCTAAAGAGCTGAGGCAAGCGGCAGTATTGGCTTGCAGATTCTTTGATTTGGCACCTAGGATTTAACAGCCATGGGTATGCCTTATTACAATCTGATGTTCCTCATGTAAAATTAAAACTAGCAACTTAAGATAAAATGACTTTTATTGACAAAAGGAATAATCATTGCCATAAAACTTTTCCAAGTTAACCCTTTAATAATAATAATAATAATAATAATAATAATAATAATAATAATAATAATACATTGGGTTTTATAGTGCGCATGACAGTCAGTTAGAAAGTAAGATCCAAAATTTAAATAGACAAAAATAGCAGCTTCAATTTAAAAATGCACAATAAAATATTACAATGATCAAATGTTACATACTTTAAGTTATGATAATAAACATGCTGAACTAAATAGGTGTGTTTTAAGCTTTACTTTAAAAACATCAACAGATTTGGTGCATCTGACATCAAATAGCAAAGAATTCCAGAGCCTTGGAGCAGCGCAAGTGAAGGACCTATCACCGAGTGCTGCTTTGCATATGAAACTGGGATAACTAAGTAAAAGATTCTCATTTGAGATCCTGAGATTATATCTTGATGGAGGCCTAAGAGAAATAAGAGATGATAAAAAAGATGGAGCTAAAACATGAAGAATCTTAAAAGTAATCAAAAAAATTTTGAACTCTAATCTACATTTAATTGGTAACCAGTGCAACTCCATTATAAGGCCAGGAATTATGTGAAAAAATTTGTGTTCATTAAAAATGCAAAAGCATTTGCGTTGTACGTGCTGTAGCTTATGTAGTGACGAATAAAGCAGGCCATACAATAAGCTGTTGTAGTAGTCAAGACAACTGGATATGAAAACATGAATAAGTGTCTCGGTTGATTTTTGTGAGAGATAATTCCTGATGTGTTGTATGTTGTAGAAATGGAAAAAGGAAGAACCGCAGGCTAGATCTTTGTATTATGCTTTCACTTGGACAGCCTAGAATCAAACCAGAAACTTAGATTCCTTGCAGTGGGAACAGGATGAATGTCAGAGCTACCCACGCAGATACTCATGATGTCCACCTTTTCCAGCTGTTCTGGTGTGCCAATAATGAGAAATTCAGTTTTGTCGTCATTCAATTTAAGATTGTCATTCAACATCCACAAACATCTGATATGCAATTTTCCATTCTTTTTAAGGCTGAAAACCGGTCTGACAGATAAGATTAGGGCTAAACGAAATGAAAACCCGTGTAATATCTGAGAGTGCATAACAATGAACTTCAGGCAGATGGGTTTTAACAATCTCAAAAAGCTTACTCGTATACAGCATAAACAGAACTAATCAGAGAATATGTCATCGCTCAATACTTGCTGAGATCTTCAAGACAAATATGACTTAAACCAAAAGAGAACTTTCCCTTGGATACAAAATGAAAACTGGAGCTTGATGCAATAGAGTATCATAATCACGGTATCAAAAGGGGCGCTCAAGTCTAGTAGTAGAAGCAAAGTAACACATTGATTGTTCGTATTAAGAAGAATGTCACTTGTGACTCTCAACAAAGATGTCTCTGTGCAGTGATTGGGATGATATGCTGATTGTGATGCTGGAAGCAGATCATTGCTAAACAGATAATGTTGTAGTTGCTTAGCAACTGCAGTCCCTACTAGTTTTAAAACATACACAAAATTACTCACAGGACTGTAATTTTTAAAGAGGAGATCTAAACCATCTTTCTTTAACTATGCCCATACCAAAGCATGCTTCCAAGCACAAGAAAAGTATGCAGAATCAAGAGAAAGGTTATTATTCTAGTGATCGGAGGCAGTAGCACATTAAGGCATTCAACAACAAGTTTGGTTGGGATGTGGGATCAAGAGGACAAGGTGTCTTTGATAATAATGTAATGAGGCCATATACTTCAGATTTGGAGAGAAGGTTGAATTCAGAAAAAGTGGAATTGGTAATGGTACCATTGGTATCGCTGAAATAATGGCTTTTTTTTTTTTAGTAAACGATGCACCAAAATTGTTAGCTAGCTGATGATCATCGGCAGATAAAGGTAGGCTAGCAGATCTTGATATATTCAAAAGTGATTTGCTTGCATCGAATAATCTCCTTTGGTTCACACTGTTCACATTAACAAAGTTTGTGTAGTAATCACAGTGAGCCTTGTTCATAAGAAAGGTTAGATAATTCCTTGCAGAACGAAAACCTAATAAATTGGTGTGTGATCTGGAGGTTCTCCATATCTTTTCAGCTTTCCTCCATTGTTCTTAACCTTGTTTAAGGATTTGAAACCATCTTCGCATTTTTATTGCACTCACCCACCGACTACTACAGTCGACTCTCGATAACTCGAACCTTCAAGGGAAATCGAAAAAGGTTCAAGTTATCGGGAGTTCGAGTTATCGGGAGCTCGAAGAAAATAGCCCAGAGTAAGGAAAAAAACAGTTTTTACTGCACAGTGAGCATTGTAATCACATTTAATTGTAGAAATATCAAGTGAAAATTAAAAGATACTTCTAGATTATAAATCAGAACGTAACATAACAAAACCTTGGTTAAATAGAGCATGCGTTTTACTGTTTTGAGAAGTAAAGCTGTTTCACGTTAGATTTGTGACAAACAACATCATTGTTCATAAGAAAGGTTAGATAATTCCTTGCAGAACGAAAACCTAATAAATTGGTGTGTGATCTGGAGGTTCTCCATATCTTTTCAGCTTTCCTCCATTGTTCTTTAGCTACCAAGTATCAGTCATCCATGGACCTCTTGGTCAAACAGTAATTCTCTGACGTATAACAGGAGCATGACGATCAAGTAGAGAGCAAAGAGTATTATCGAATAGTGAACACAGCTGATCAGGATAGTCAGTATTACTCACACAGATATCGCTAGTACTTATTTCATTTATAAATACTCCACATACAAATTCTCCAGACTGATTTCCATACATTTATTCAAAGCATTAGATGAGAAAATTTGTTGGAAGATTAAAGCAGTTTTTCCTTGCATGATCTTTAACTAATCTCTTGATAATGATAGTCCTGAGAAAATTGCTGTGGGCCACTCTTGGGACTTAAAGGAATAATGTGATGATCAATTGATCAATTCACAACTGCAACATTCCCCAGGAACCCCTCACGCATCTTTTGAAACCTTTTAAAACAGGCCTGTTTAAATTGCCATTACATTACTTCAATGCAATGGGTTTGTTTGTGGGGAAGGGGGATGTTCAAGTTTCGAATTGATAATTGGGTGCAAAACTTGTATAAAAAAATCTATACTTCTCTTTCTCATAATCTAAGTTACAACTTGAAGAAGTTGTCCTGATATTTCAGCCAAAAATTGTTACCAGAGATTTACCAGGAAATGAGAGCCAGTAAAAAAAACTATTTTTAACTTAAGTTTTAATATAACTTACTTAAAAGTTCAGTGAGAATAGCAACAGCACCAATCTGAGCCACAGCTGTCTGGTTGCTATGGTTACCATCACACAAAACCCTGAGTGCATTGACACAGTTGACCAACACATGCTCAAGCTTGGAGTCCAACAATCTTACCAGTGGCTCTATTCCTCCTAAAGGGACAAAATGTTTTTCAGGCATAAAATATTAATGCATGGGAACTAAAAAAATGGCAAGAGGGTACGACTATATTCTTAACACCCCTGTACTGCTCAAAAACAGAAACAAAGTATTCAAAAGTATTCAAAAAGGTAACTTAATAAAGCTGAATATTGCCCACAGTACCTTCTTCTGCAATCTTTTCCTGATTCACATCCAAACAAGCCAAGTCACCAAGTATAACTGCTGCACGGGAATGGATCATAGGTACTGGTGAATCTAACAAGCTGACAACTACAGGAGTGGCATTTGCTTTTGATACTTCAGCTCTTACTTCACCATGACTGCCAATGTTGCACAAAACAGATGCTGCAAGTGATTGAAGCTCAACATTCTCAAGTCTGAGTAGATCTACAAGCGCAGGGACTCCTCCTGCAAGTAGGATAGATTTCCAGTTGTTTTCTGCAGCAAGGGACAAAACTTCAAGACATCTGACTGCACTGTGCTTTCTCTTGGTGTCATCTGACTTCAACATACCAACTAACAGATCCCAGACAGGAACTTCACTATTGTTCCAACTGATGAAGTACTCTAGTGTATTGGTGTGAAAATGAAGAGCAGCAAGGTGAACTGCTCCATTTCCTTCCTTATCTACTGATGTGTACTGTGAACCAAGTTCAATTAGACACTTGACTGCATCAAGAGCACCACTGGAGGCTGCTAAAAGAATTGGTGTTGATTCCAAGGCATCTTTTGACTTAAGCTCGAGTAATTTGGGTTCATGGTGTATCAAATGCAAAAGGCAATCAACATGGTTAAAAAAGGCAGCATAATGAACCGACACCCATCCCTGACTGTCATACATCATAACATCAGCTTTGTATGTGACCAGGCAAATCAAGCTGTCTAGTGCACCACATCTTGCTGCCAGGTGAAGTGGACTTACACCTTGGGATGAAATGTTGTTATAGCGTCGAACATTTACATCAAATCCCATCACCACCAGCATTGTAATAATCTGAGGCCTGTTAAATATGGCGGCATGATGGATAAGTGACAGACCTGATGAATCTTGCGTTGTTAGACGGGATGGTGGCAATCTCCTTGTCATGGTGTGAAAAATCGAAACAAGGCCCCTCTGTGCACTAGCTTGGAGCCCAGCAGGGATCTGCTTGAGTTTGACTGTTCTTTGGTAACCGTACCTCTTCTTAAACTGTTCATGAATTTGTAACTCATGCACAGGAAGCCTTTTAGGTTTCAATTTCATGATTTCATCATAATGAGCATGTATCCATAAAGGGTGTTTTGGTGACACTGGGTAATATGTCTCAAGATGAATGTTCAGGACAAAATAACTCTTGCTTTCGATTTCAACTGCTGTCATGGGATAACTCTCCAACATGACAGTGTCAGAACTCATGATTTTGTTGCAAGCTTCAGAGGCTATGTATTCCAGGTTTTCCCGCTCTGTTACAATTTCTGAGGGGATCTTTTGAGCAGGGGTAGTTTTGCGTTCAATTGAAATTCCTCCATGAAGATGAAAGTATTTCTCTGAATGATCAAAATGCTTGCACTTAAACTCTGGTCGTAAGATGAGTGGTGGGAACTCACGTTCAGTTTTACCCTCCTCAAATGTAAATGCAGGAAGGAGTTTGTTAATGTCTGGAACTTTACAACGCTTTTTGATTGCAATCAGAAAAGGCACCATGAAGCTTATAAACTTGAGGAGACAAAGCTGTCGTTTCACTTCTGGCTTTAATGGTAGAGTTTTCCTGATAAACTCCTGATGGACACCCAGCCTTCGCTGTAGCTTTACATAACCAGGAAGATCAATTTTGTCTGATCTCACAACGCTTGAGATGTGATAATTAGCGTCAATCAAGAACATGTTTTGGTGTTGATTGACAGAATTTTGAAACAAAGTTAATTTCAATGCTAGTTCATCAACATGCTTCAGGAAGTGTCTCCTTTCCTCAATAGCAACTGGATCATCCTTATTTTCCAAAGGCAAGGCCTCATAAGCCGCAGTAAGCTCGGGATCTTTAGCAAGGTCTGAGATACCCGCCTCTGTCCACACAAGCTGTAAACTACGTCGTGTTTCAGGTTCTCCAGTTGTTGTGTTTAAATTCACAGCTTGCCTCCATCGTTCTGCGAATTTTGTTCTTTTATCCTTTGGAAAGTAAGCCCCGTGCCATAAACTTTTCATCATGTAATCTACATCGGAAAGTATCTGGCCAATTCTTGTATCGAAGTAAGCGGGGGGAATCTGGCAAGACGTACTGCAGTCATAATTAGCTTCCAAACTGATTGAGGGAGTTTGATTCAAAATGTAGATCCCGATAACCAGTTCACGAACAATTTGATGCATTTCTCGCAACTCTAAGGGCTCGATACCTTCCTCCTCTGGGATTAAAAGCAAACAGTTGTTGAAATCACTGGGAATTTGAATCCCAGCAATCAGTCCTCGCGGAGGTTCTACAGAAATCCGTGTGTCTTCGGTCGAAAGTAGCCAGTCACTAGAGGTGTAAGCAAGAGTCTCTTGAAGTTCGTAGCGTTCAATCTTGTCAAAATACGTTGCAGCAGCCCTTGATGCAGTCATGGACGCCATCACATCGGACGAACTCGAGGTTCTGCGATCTCGGCGACCAGACGTTACGCTCGAGCTGCCGCCGGTCATGGAAGATGTCATTTTAGAGCTTGTAAGAAGGTATAACTATAAACATAGACGTTAGCTGAAATAAATTAGGGGATGTAACACTTCTAGAACATAACAAGTCGACTGTAGGAAAAGCTGTTTCCGAGCAGGATTTCTAAGGATTTGCATATCTTCAACACTGTAAAACCGAAACGGTTTCCGCAACGACCGTAATGTTCAAACAGTAAAAAGCTCAATTTGATTGATGTCGAAAAGTCTAAAGGTCCTCCAGGCACAACACATGATTTCTCCTGACAACCAAAACAAACAGAAGCTAATTCGAATGAGCCATTATTAATTATTGATTTTGAACATTCACCTGTCTATCAAATATTTTCCACAAAGGTCTGCATAACATTCATCGTTACATTTTTGATTTGCATTTTGTCCTGGCAACCCAAAAGCTGTCAGCGACATCACACCATGTCACACGTACAGTAATGAGGAGGGCACTGGGTCCTTCGATCATCAGTCATGACTCGATTTTTCACACAGGTTTTTCAGAACGGTTTTGTGTAGGCGTCATAAGGTGTCCAGCCCCTGCGGAGTGTCGCTCTGCGCTAGACTGGATTCTAGTTACAACATGAACCAAGTAAGAAATTCAAGAAACTTGTAAATGGTAAACGTCCCAATCGGGAAAACGGGACAACTTTTTCAGAACTTCCGTTTGTCCCGGGAATTTTCCAGTGGGACGAACCAAAAAAACGTTTACCATTTACATCGCAATCGGAATTTCCGGGAATTTGTAGTAAATGGTTAACAACCAATTTAACACCGCGTCGCCCTCGAATAAGCGCCGCTGTCCTAATACGGCCGCACTAAAACACGGAATCCGAGATCCAGAATCAGGCTTGGAAACGTAAGCGAAATACTGCATACAGAATCAAATATTAATAATAGAGAAACTAAAGAATTTCACATTGCATACACATTGTAATTTAGTATAATCCAAAGAGCGAGAGAATTTGTTCAGTAGTTTGTCTTTGCAGTTCCCTTGAATATATTCTTGTTAATGCATCTTGTTCAAGAGATTTTAAGGATTTATTGCATTGCAAGGTTGATAAAAGTAATTTTTATTCACGAGTGTAGGGGTTGAATAATACAGTTAAACAGAAACCTTTTTAGCCACATGCTTGTCCCCCAAAACACTCCAGGGACATGACCACAGTTACTTTCCGGCCTTTTAGCAATAAGTTCAACTTTTTTTTAGCCATTATTTTGATGTACCGCGGACTTAAGCAAATGCACGCACAATTCTCTCTTCTCTTTGGACGCTACAATACCATGGTTCCTTTGTTTAAGTTGTATTAAATAAAAAAAATTGAAGACTGTTGAACACAACCCAGAAAAGACACCGAGGAAAAACTTGACGACGACGCCTTTCAGTTATATAAACTACGTCTCTGTCGATTTAAACGAAGTATGTCTCCATATAACTTGCCTCTTTTTAAAAGAAACTACAATAGTTGTCAGGGAAGTCTTCTCAGCTATTGTTTTTTCCCCTCGTTTTGCTACCCAATGAGAATTTCAGGAATTTGCATTCATTCTTTTCACCGGAATCGACTCCTCTCGTCATGCAGCAGTCTCCTCTGCCAAGGTAATTATTGATTTACATGTTTATTTTATCTGTATTGTTTTGTTATTGCTATTATTTTTTTTTTTAAATCGATCGCTTGGAACCTTCTTTCACATATTCCGTATTCCGTTTCCGAATTCCGGAATTGAAATTATTCCCTTGGTTAATTATTCTCTCTTAATAAAATTCTTGGTCGCGTTATGCATCAATCAGCGGCTTCCCCCTAGAATGTATTATCAGAATTGTTTATGGTTCCAAGCTATAAACATAAGCAATTGGAAGCGCCTCATCATCATATAGAGGCGAATCCTTGCATGCTGACGTCATTGTTTACATTTTTGCTTATTAGAATACAGGTTAACCCATAGAAGGCCTTTTCGTATGCACAAAAATGGTTCAAAAGTTGAGAGGGCGCGTTAATTAGTGCAGTTTGTTCACTTTCAGCTCCCTGAAAACAATAAAAGTGGAACTAGCAGCAATCAACACTACCGAATTGATGGGTTGCAAAAACGTTCTGATGAGATAATACATTCTTTTCAAAGTTCGAGGTTTTTCAAAGAGAGATGACTGAAATTGTTTTGCTTTTTAAACATTCAGAGATTTAATATTTTTTAGTTTCATCAGCTACGATAAGCATATGTTAATGAGGCAAAAAAGAAAATAATGTAACCAGGGATTCGCCTATAAAGATAAGTCAATTCTGTAGAAGCAACTTGGATTCCTTCAAAGTACAGTCGAACGTTCACCTCTCTACAATGATTGGCCACTTTTTTGGCGGACAGTCCATACATTGACTCATGTTTAAACCTCGCTACAACAGCCACTTTCTACTGTCCCAAGGTGGCCATTGAGGAGAGGTTCAACTGCAGCACCATAACTGTTGGCTGCTGGTTGTACATTGCCTATACTGCGTCACGCCCTAGCATGGATGCGTTCATCGATTGCAGAAGAAGAGGAGAACAATTACCCCAAACTGAAATGGTATAGGTCACACAGGTGATAACAGTTTTGAAATTGATGTCCTGGAAGGAATGTTTGAGCATATGTGTCTAATTTTTTTCAAGGCATCCACTAATCTCTGTAAATAGATCAACAGAGTTTATTATCAACAGTAACACCACCCAACAACGTGGCTCGCCCGAAGGAAGGCGCGTTGATGGACCCGTTGATTAGTCACCAAAACACATGGTCGGTGGAACCTCTTCTTCAGAAAGTTGGCACGGCGCAGGCAAAACAAGGTAATGGCGGGGACAGCCAAAGCAGAAAGAAAATCTCTGGAGAAAGGCAACTGTACTTTATCAAAAACGAAAAAAGGAAATAAGATATGTAAGGACACAGACCACGTCATTTCTCTTGCTTGACTGTGTGTCATCATGAGTACGAATTTGACTCAGACGAGGATTAACCAATGTTAAAGTGAATGTACAATAGTCTACCAAAAAAACATTCATTTGAAACGTTTATTAAGTTTCTCGGAAATATACACCTTTTTTACAAATTATGTAAACAATATTCGTTACAGCCCATTGGAGAATGAATGAACTCCCCGAGAATTTTCGGGAAAAATACAGTACACGTGACGATGTTTCACCTTAAACCACTACTTCTAAGGGATACGATTACCACAAGATTACAACAGAATGTAAGGCACATACTACAGTCACGTGTCTGTGGTAACGTTAACAAGACGCTCGTGTACTTGATCGTATGATCCTCTTCCTCTCATTACTAGTGTCTGCTCCTCTTCCTGAAGTTTACCGCTGACGATAACAACACATTCGTACTCAATATTGTGCCTGCAATGAAAAGGAGAAAAGATAAACTGGGACTGCCGTAGGGACCTGAATAAAATTTGAAAATCAAGATCCCCGCTGTGTTAAGTGATTTCATCCACTCGCCGACCCTTCCTATATCGGGTATTCAGTCAGTCCATATCAGACCATGTCATGTTACTCTGTTTAATTTAAAGTGCCTCATGCTTCTTCATATACGCCACTTGCATACCTCTCATAATATACCTTATTTGCCCCCCAAAATTTTACGTAAGCATCGTTTTCAACTTCTCTTAGGACGGCTGTGACACCCAGGAGAAATGAAAAGCAAAGGTTATGCAAAATTTGGGGGAGGGGGGGGGGGGGGGGGGGAAATAAGTTGATTAATGGGAGAGGGGGATGTGGCGAATTGCTTTTTGAATGAAAATTGAAAAAAAAAAAAAAAAAAAAAAAAAAAGACATGTGAGAAAGTCTTGAGGACAGAAAGGAAAAAAAAACAACGAAAAATAAAAAACTTATGATTGAAGGTGGGAATAAAAAAAAAAAAATTTGGTAAACAGGGAAAAATTACTTTCACAGCAAAGTAAGTCATCACTGTTTTCCAATAATTTTATTTTTAATTCCTAGCTTCCAGCATAAGTTTTTTATCTTCGGTGGTTTGTTTATCCTTTCTGGCCTCACGACGTTCGCACAGGACTTTTTCCTTTGTTCTGTTTTTTTTTTTCAATTTGCATTCAAAAATGAATACGCCACTTGCACATCTCCCAT